TTTGGCGAAAATTGAACTTAAGACCTCTTACTTACAAGTGAAGAGAAATACCACTAGACCGTAGTACTAAGTGACATAAGTAGTTGTATTTATATATATATTAAATTATATTTTGTAAATTACATGATCTAATAATTGATGGTTGAATTTCTTGTTTAAATCATTAAAGAAGATATCCAACCATCGACTGCTAGTTCATGTGCTCTACAAAATGCAGTTTAAAAACATAATCGCCCTAGTATTTTTCATTCATAAAACATCAAGATTTTGTTTGGTTAGTTATTAAATAGAAGGGTTAAACTCTGTTTACTACCCTCATGTTTCGTGGTTTTCAACATTTAGTACATCAAGTTTTTTTTGTCCCAGAGTCATACCTAAAGTGTTAATTTTGGGACAGTCTCATACATTCGTTAATCAAACTGTTAGTTTTCCCGTTAAGTGATGACGTGGAGCCTATATGGACAATGATTGGGCGCCACGTGTCATTAAAAAATATTAAAATAATTAATTAAATAAAAGTTAAAAAAAAATCATCCCTCCTTCCCCCGCCCCCAACCCAGAAGAAGAAGGATGAAGAAGAAGAAGAAGAAGAAATAAATCGAATCTGGGAAGAAGAAGAAGAAGAAGAAGAAATAAAACCGAATATGGGAAGAAGAAGGAGGAGGAAGAAAAAAAAGAAAAAAAAACTGAATCTGGGAAGAAAAAGAAGAAGAAATAAAACCGAATCTGGGAAGAAGAAGAAGAAGGAGGAGGAGGAAGAAGAAGAAAAAAAAAAAACCGAATCTGGGAAGAAGAAGAAGAAGTTGAAGAAGAAGAAAAAAAACCGAATTTGGGAAGAAGAAGAAGAAGAAGAAGGAGGAGGAAGAAGAAGAAGAAGAAAAAAAAAAAACCGAATCTAGGAAGAAGAAGAAGAGAGGAAGAAGAAGAAGAGGAAGAAAAAGAAGAGAGGAAGAAGAAAAAAAAAAAACTGAATCTGGAAAGAAGAAGAAGAAGAGAGGAAGAAGAAGAAGGAGGAAGAAAAAGAAGAGAGGAAGAAGAAAAAAAAAAACCGAATCTGGAAAGAAGAAGAAGAAGAGAGGAAGAAGAAAAAAAAAACCAAATTTGGGAAGAAGAAGGAGGAGGAAGAAGAAGAAGAAGAAAGAAAAAAAAAACCAAATTTGCAACCCAGAAGAAGAAGAAGAAGAAAAAAAAACTGCAACCCAAACCTAGTTTGTCCCCCTCCCCCCCCGGTCCCGCGAACGCGACCCACCTGTCTTCCTTGTTCTTTTAGGTTGCAGATTCGATTTTTTTTTCAGTCTTCTTCTTCTTCTTATTCTGGGTTGGGGGGAGAAGGGATGGGTATTTTATTTTTATTTTTTATAATTAATATTTAATTAATTATTATAATATTTTTTTAATGACATGAGGCGCCTAGTTATTAACCATATAGGCGCCACGTCATCACTTAACAGGAGAAAATTGATGTATGAGACTGTCCCAAAATTAAGGTATGACTCTATGATGAAAAAAAACTTATGTACTAAATGTTGAAAACCACAATAATAGGAGTTTAACCTAAATAGAAAGATTGAAAATTTGAAATTGCTTCAACAAAAATGAAAAATAATAAAAGATGGCTCCCAAATGGCAGGGTGCATTCGATTGTAGTTGAACTAGTCCTATCTTGAAATGGGCTTGCACATTCTGAGGTCATCTCCCCTTTCTTCCTCCAAGACCATAATCTTCAACCCCACCACCATCACACCCACTCTCTCCAACCTCCTCCGCCCTCCAAGCCCTAAACCCGCTTCTCTCTTCCGAACCCATTTCACAACTTTACCTCCAAAACCCATCGCAAGCGTTATACCCGCTGCTGGGTTTGCTGGGTCTTTGCACCGCAGCAAGCGGAGCTTTCGTGGCGGGGTAGTTGTAGCCATGGCTGCACCTGGGTCGGATCAGAAGTCTGAGGAGGAGTGGCGGACCGTGCTCTCTCCCGAGCAGTTTCGGATTCTGAGGCAGAAAGGCACAGAGTAAGGCATTTTTGCAATTGTTAGTTTAGTTGCTTAATTATTTTGATTTAGACTTGCAGTTTTGTTGCATTAATGTATAAATTAGAGAAAGAATTAGCTGTTTTGAAGCATGTTTTGATTTATTTTGTTTATTTAGTTGATTTATTTTTGTCCAGTGTAGCAGAGATAGCTGTTTTCCACTAAATGAGGGAATTTCCGTTTTTTATGTAAATGTAAGTGGCAAAAACAAGCGTCATTAGGGTTGTTTTTACTCTGTCATATAAAGTATTCTGCTTATAAACATTGGCATGTTGATTGCCATGACTGCCACTTGCTCGAGGAAAGTGATGTTAAAATGTTCATATGATATGAGTAGTATCCAAAAACCAAATAATTCAGATTCTGTACTGAAAGCGGCAGGCTTACATGGATTGTCCCGAACAGAAAAAAAGAAAGAAAGAATACCCTTAGATTCATTTCTTTAATATCTGTTATTATCTGTTAATATGATGTGAGTAGTCTCTTACACGTTGAAAGTGTCGTTAATATCTGTTATTTATATTTCATTTCTTTGCTAATATCAAGAGGACCCAGATTCATTCTAATTACTGAAACTGTGTGCGAGGAACTTGCGGGACTTATTTATTTCTCCTACTTCCAGTTAAAACACAAAATGAAATACAAGATAGGCTTCAATCGAAATCGCTGTTGCAAGATCTTCAGAAATAAAATGGATTGCTGCATTGAACATCTAAATTAATCTATCTTCAAACTTTCATTACAGAATGTAATGTAACATTCTAACATGCTTAGTACTTTACGATGATTTGTAAATACAAGAACGAAGACTGACTTGTGCTTTGGAAATTATTTGGTGCTATAAAGGTATCCGGGCACAGGAGAATATGACAAGTTCTTTGAGGAGGGAATCTATAACTGTGCAGGATGCGGGACTCCTCTCTACAGATCCACAACCAAATTTAATTCTGGTTGTGGCTGGCCAGCTTTTTATGAGGGTCTTCCTGGGGCCATAAATTTTAACGTGAGTAACCTTCCTTGTGGTAGTCCTTATTTTTTGGTTTTTTAATCTTAATTTAATTGGAGCTATCAGTTTTATTATTGATGAAAATCTTATGCTTTCAGCCAGACCCAGATGGAATGAGGACTGAAATTACATGTGCGGCTTGTGGTGGACACCTGGGTCATGTATTCAAAGGAGAAGGTTTTCCAACACCCACAGATGAACGCCATTGCGTCAATAGTATTTCACTCAAGTTTGCCCCTCCCACTTCTAATCCATCTCAGTGAAGCGTTTGTTCCTCCCAGTTCTAATTCATCTCAGTGAATCCCTTTGCATATTACATTTCAATATCGTAAGTTACTGTCAATAAAGTGGTTGTCATATAAAGAATAAAGATTGATGGTAAAACTTTTTGTGCTAATGCTATCGTTCTTCTTTTTGTATGCCTCAACTAACACATAATTTCACCAAATGGGTTTTCTTTTGCTCCCATTCCACCAGCCATCCCAGATTATGTTCTGTCTGGGTTCTGATGTATAGAAATGGACTAATGTATCGTATTTATGCTTTGCATCCTTGCTTTAACGGAAGATTTGTGTAAAATGATAACATGGTTTTGTTCGTTTGTCGTAGGGAAACCCTTACATGATGTCTATTGAGTAAAAGGAAAATCTTGTGTCCGTCCTCGATGTAAAGACTTAAGCTGCTGCTCAGGTTTATTACTGTGAGAGGGTTGCAGTAATATCCATCCATTTTGTGTGTGAATTTCTTTACATGTTTCGTGCGTTAGAGCTTGAAAGGATTTTGTAGAAAGACAACCTTCGGAATCAGGGCATACGAAAATGCAATTTGAACTAAAAAGGCATTAGTCGGTTAAGGTTTGATTACAACTAAGACATGGATTAAGGACAACACAGCAGAGCGAGCTTCTATATTTTACCTTGAATGCTGTTGCCAATGACAGTTTCCTCAAGTTTCTATATTGTAGCTGCATGGCTGAGGATGATGCCTTCTTTTTCATATGTGGTTTCGAGTAGGTTTCCAAGATGAGAAACCTAGAAAAACTCGGAATTGTGCTACTGAATTCAAGAGAATTGTTATAAGCACTCTGAAAAAGTTATATGCACTCTAACCTCGCTCATTCGTCGTAATACCCGATAATGAAGTGCGATAGTCGCTTAAAAAATGGAGAGGCTTTAAGCACAACCCATGGAAGCGGAAACGCTGTGAATCTTGAGGTGCTCTGTGTTTCCAGTGGCGGACGAGTGAGGAATGCGTAAGAACCTGTCCTTGGGAGGCGAACAACAGCTGGAAACTGCTGCTAATACCCCGGGGACTGGCAAGAGGGATGGTTTGTAATCATCCCCTCCCACGGGACTACTCAAATGAAAGCTTCAGAGGAAGCACGGTGTTAAATGAGGTTAGAAGCGGGTTTTTTTTGCTTCATATTCATTCAGTCATCGCTCATCTTACGACATTACCTAGAGAGCATGTTCACTTACCATGTATGAAAAGAGGAATGGTTACCAACAATTTTAGGTATTAGTAACTTGAAAATGAAGGTATTCCATTAACATATGGGACCTAGGACCCGTTTGGAAGTGTTTTTAAAATGATTGAAAACGCTTTTGATGAAATGTTTTTGAAATCAGTCCCCAGTAAAAATATGTGGATCCTAGAAAAGCGCTTTATATGCTTCTTGCAATAAGCACATATATGGTTCTTCTTCCGAAAAACACTTAAAGTGATTTTGGCACTCAAAATCAATGTCATCAAAAGCGCTTTTAGTTATTCCAAAAGCACTTCCAAACGAGTCATCGTTCACATCCTCGCCCATTCTAATTTCATACCTATGCTGTCTGTTGGTAAAAGCTAAAGCCAATTTCACCAACAAAAAGGAAACTTGCACAAACATTGGTGGTGATTCTTTTTTTTATTCTCTTATCTGCTAAAAATTCTTGTCAGATAATTACAAGTGGCAAGGTCTTTGCAGCCTTGGAAATCGCCAGGTGGACAGTATTAAGGAAAAATCAGATTGGCTTTTGTCATTTAGTTGACGTGACTGGAAACCCATTTTTCGTTGCTCCAACGCCTGCCTTTCCTCCACAAACTGTCAACACACACAGTCGCATGCAATCCAAGCTTATTGGATTAAATCTCTCTCTCTCGTTTCAAACACATTGGCAGGCAGGAGGCCTCAAACGTGTGCACTTTTCGTCCTCAGCTTTTGCTTCTCCCTCTCTTTCTCTCCCATCTTTTACTAAGAAGGTTCAAATGATTAGCTCTCTTTGTTTTCCTCAAATATTTGCATAAGTAAATTGTGGGTTTTGTAAGAAAAAGCAACATAAGTCGTGGGTTTTTCTTTTCTTCAATGTGGGTTTTCTTCTGTCATCAGCCTCAGCACTCTGTTGGAGTCAGTCACCTATTTTGAAAGCTCTAAGGTAAATATGCTTCTACTTGTTATCCTTTTTCTGTATATTTCATGCGTACCAAATGATGAACTGAAAAGATGTTGTCTTTCTTTTGTACCTGGTGACCATCACCATCAGTAGGGAACAAGACTTCAAACTTTCATTTATGCGCTTAACATTTTGCCAATTTTTCCTTATATTATGTCAAGTTTTCAATCCACAACAGGAAACCAGAACATGCAATCAGCCAAAGTTTCGGAAATTTTGTTTAAAATTGAAAGCCATTAAGTTTTCCATTCTTCTTTGTTCCTGCATTTGGATAGTGGAGTAAGCTAGTCAAAATTGCTTAAGTTAATCTAGCCTATATCTTGTCTTCTCTTCCTTGCAGGGATACAACACTATCAAACAAAAGAGCCCATTTATGGCCTGCTCTCTGTCCATATCACGGTTTTCTGGGTGTTCTTTTATTCCGTATTCCAGTAACCAGCAAGTGCATCCGTTATCATATGCCACTAATTACAAGACAAGGCATCCCCCTTTTGTTGCAAGAAACTTCTTGGGAAATCCTTTACTAGCTTCCTCTGTATGCGGATGGAGAGGACTTTATTTCTCAAACCACCAACCAGTCCTTTCAAAAAGATTGCGGATACATGCAGGACTTGATGTTGCCAGCGCTGTTGATGTCATTAGTGATTTGGGATTTGATACTTTGACGTTCTTAGCTGTTACTGTCATTATCGTTCCAGCATTCAAGATCATTAAAGCTAGTCCTGTAAGACTGTTGTTGTATCGTACCTATAATATTGTTATTTTTAAAATTTACATGAGATCACTTCTTAGATGAAATACAGTATATGTTGTGGTTTTCAGATACTTGGTTTCTTCTTTGCGGGGATTACACTCAATCAATTTGGCTTGATTCGGAATCTTACAGATGTGAAAGTGTTGTCTGAATGGGGCATTCTTTTCTTGGTAAGCATACTTTGTTGATGTATACTGTTGTAGAATTTAACAATATCAGGCCTTCTATTTTTATGCTGTACCTGTACCATGTCTATGAATACTGCAAATTCATCACCTTACTTTGTGAACCTGTGATAGTCCTCAGTGTTAGCTTGATATGCATTATTGGTTTTTTTTATTTTATTTTTTGTTTTCATAGAGATTTGACTCAAGAACAAAGTGGAGACTAAATGCCATTATTCCAAATGGTCATTGCCGATATACGTAGTTGGTGTATTCCCTAACAACTTAACCCTTTTGGGGTTCAGTAGTTTTCTAATATGGTATCAGACCCTTGATCGCATGAGGCCATGCCTTGAACCTCCTACTGGCATTCCCCATCTTTTTCTGGTTAGGGAGGTGCAGGTAAGGAGGGAGGGTGTTAGCTTTATATGCATGCTTGGCTCATTCTCTAACTTAAGTTTTTGAGGTCTAGTGGTTGCCTAACACTTGAGATAAACCAAAAAATTCTTTTTCCATTACGCAGACAGAACATTTTCCTTTTCCCTTGGGCCACCCTAGTGTACTTCGTAGAAAGAATGAAAATTATTTTTTCTCGTATGTACTTTTTGATGCTCAAAGATAAGTACATCCATCTTAAATTAGTTTTCTGTTGGTTAATTACCGGATTTACCTAACTGTGACACCGAGTAAGAAAGATGGCAAATATTTAGGGTTCACTGGCTGGACTTACTGAGGATTATGGACAGGGAAAATACCTGGGGAGCATCCTCTGCTTTGCATAGTGTTTTCTTTGTCGCTTGAGCCATTTTTCTTTCTGCAATTTGTGTTCTCCCATAAGTTAAAGAATATGATTTTCTGAAGAAGCTTATATTCCTCTGATGGTGATATGTTGGTGCATACCTTTTACATTGTTTTTGTTTTGTTTGACTGTTATGTTTCCCTTTCAGCTGTTTGAGATGGGCTTGGAGCTTTCATTTTCACGTCTGAAGGCTCTTGCAAAATTTGCCTTCGGAATGGGATTAACTCAGGTAATTTGTAGACAAAAAGCAATACTTGGTGTTTCTAGTATCTATCTGGTTGTGTAAATTAGAGGATAGTATTCCCTTTATTGAGGATAATTATGAAATTCAAACTGGAGTAGTTATGGTATCATCAGATATATATGTCATAGAGCTGGAAAAATGTACTTTTTGAGGTTATTTCATGTTTTATGGTTTTATTTGAATTCCAGAAAGCTATAAGGCACCCAAAGAAAGAAAGAAGATGAAGAGTATTCATAAGGAATAGAATAAGATAGGAATTGAGTTAGTAATAAGCAGCAGGAAGAAATGGACGTTGCATTTCAATGTTTTATTTGCTTAACAAACTAATTGAATGGAACGCAATAATTTAATGATATTTTTATGTATCTCATTTATGAAAAGTTATTTATATAAACGAATTACTTTTCAGTAACAAATATCATTTTTAGATCTCTCTATGTGTGTGCGAGTGTGTGTGTGTGTGATCAATAAGGGTTAATAAGATTGTTATTAAAGTAAGTTCTGAACTTCTAATTGAACAGGCATTGGGACATTTTCATTTCTTAAGGGCAAAGGCTCTTGCAATACCTTTGTTGTGCGAAAATTCCATGAATGGTTATTTTAGTCTACCTGGAAGTGTATTTGGTGCTGTTTGATTAATATTTTTAAACATCTTCGAATAGCGCCATTGTCATTACGTAGTCATATAATTGCTCTTTGCCCATCTTTTATGCTAAGCTTCTGTTTGCAGTTTATGAATGCTGCACAAATTGCATGGAAAACACAAATGACCATTCTATAGTGCTGCTTGAATTACTGACCTTATTTTTTTTCCCTCTTGAAGGTCGTATTATCTACTCTTGCTTTCACAGCCTTCGAACTTCCACCTAATGGGGCTATTGGAACCCAAATTTTGACGTTCCTCTTTAACTCAAGGCCTGATTTGGTGAGAGCTCTGTTCCATAGAACACTTTTAGCATTTGTTTCATCTGTATGTAACAAGATAGTACCATTCGTCTGCTCTTGTTATATATTTTTGAATCTTTGATTTAGTTACTTGTTTGATTCCACTTTATATAGTTTCCAGGCTTGCATCCACATTAGGTGCAGTGTTGATAGTTTTCTTCAACTACTCTCTTCTTTTAGTTTCAACTTATGGGAACCATACTTTTTAACTTGAATAAGATTTGAGCTAATGGGCAAGGTCACTAAGCTAGTGGCTAGTTGAACATATTAGGTCTTATATTATTTTTATCCGTCCTTTCTGTCCATAAATTCGGGTGGTATTACTTTTGTGTTCTTTGTTTGATATATTTTTGGTTTTTGGTTCATTGGAAGGGTTCAAGCTCTGCGCCTATCTTATTCCTAATCCATTACCATTATCCCACCCTCCCTCACAAATAACCCGAGGAGTATAGTTTAGTTTGTAGCCCAAGTGTCCTATGTACATTGAAGGGGTTCAAGCTCTGAAACCATCCTAATGCTAACCCATTACTTCACCCTCCCTCACATCTTGGGCTAACTCTACGAGTATAATTTAGTTATAGTGGTAAATTGTAATCCAATTTTCTTTATTATCTTTATCCAAGTGCTTGTCCTGGTAAAAATATTCAAGTATGATAGATTTGTTTTGTTAAGTTAGTAAGTCTTCTTGATGTTTAAAATCACTATCTGTTGGTCTTTCAGTGTCACCAACTGGAGTGTGATACAGATAGACCTCTGTCCTTGTCCTAGCCATTTTTAATTTTTATTTTATGTTCTTCCTTTCGTAATAGGTCAACATTAGAAGCGTTGATGAAGCCGTAGTGATTGGTGCTGCTCTCTCTCTGTCTTCTTCAGCTTTTGTACTTCAGGTAATTTAAATATGGAACCGCAGAATTTTTCAAATGAAGAAATCTGTTTCAATTAGCTGCTATTATGATTCCAGATATAGTGGTGCAAGAAAATGGTTAGTTATATTCGAGGAAAAGTGATCATTCCTTCTTTCTTCCACTGTTCTGTTTCAATTAGCTGCTATTATAAATATTTCATTTTCTTTTACTATTCTTTTGCTTTCCAAGTTTTAGTAAGGATCCCCTATGACGATAGTTTACTTCTTACAAGGGGTAATAGGCAATCTATATAGTTGCAGATCACACCATGACATTTCATTTGTTGGGTTAACCTGACCAGGAATTTAGCTGTACTGGCTTTAAACTTTAAAGTCCTTTTCACAGTTAAGGATGCTTTGTTGTCAAGCTTTAAAACCATGCTTTCAAGCTAGTTGCCCAAAACCTCAATCACCATACATATTGTACGAACTATGACATATAGTACTCGTATGCTGTCTATTACATATTATTTGTAACAAATGTTTTCACATTTTTAAATCGAAGCTGAACCTATTAATCTAAAAAGGAGATTAACTGTTTTAATTAATTGCCAAATACGCCTGAATGTTAACAATATAATGGTAGAAATAGTTGTCTAAGGAAGCGGTGGAAGGGTTTGCTGTTTTATCGTTGGTATTAATGGTGCTTGTATGACTTGATTATAACACCTTACCAGCAAATAAAGCATAACAATTTAGTAAGAATTGACAATAAGTATGCATGTGTATATTATCCGCTTCCCAGCATATCATATCTTTTATCCAAATTTTGGTCCCTTGAATGGGCATAATCCATGTAACACGTTACTCATATAAGATCCTAGTTTGGGGATTTCACTGTCTTAGTTTTTGAGAGTATCCAGTATTTCAATTTCATTAACTTTGTACCTTCACAAGTTCTAAAATGGACAACAATGCAGAGTGTCTACTTTATTCCTCGTACCAATAAATTTTCTGTTAATTTATATGTAATATATTTTAATGACCATTTGATATCGCTGCTTACATAGCATAATATATAGCTACTTGCAGAGAAAGGTGAACTCCCTACAAGATTTGGGTCAGCAACTTTAGGGATACTTCTTTTACAGGTTCTATTTCAAACCACGCATGGAGTTATATTTGTTTCTTCTTTTCATTTTTGGGTTTGTTTTGATTGAATTGAATGGAATAAGCTGTGGTATTGCATTTTGTTTTACTTCCCATTCTGGATTTTGATAAGGTCACCATGCAAAGTATACAACAAGAGTATGATGTCAATAACTTTTGGCCCCCACGACTTGATATTTGCAGGACATAGCAGTCGTACCTCTCTTAGTCATACTTCCAGTGCTGGAAAGCCAGGTATATGAGAAAATCAACTAATTTTTTTTATAACTACATAATTACGGTTGATTGTACAATTGTGTTAATGTCATTAGGATTACTGAATACTGATGGTAGAACACAAAATCATTGCCTCCTATATATAATAAAAAAAGAATTAATCGTATGACCATGAGTACTGGGTGGTTGTCTCTTTAAGATGACAGACCACTGTTCATCTCATTATGTAATATGTGCAATGTCTTCTGTGAAGAGAATGGAGTATGTAAGAAAGAAATTCTAGTGAAAATCCAACGTAAAACTCAAATTGATTTGGCAATTTTCAATTCTAATTTCTAGGTCTGATCCAAAATATATCATCGGTGAAGGATACTTACTGCTGGAAAATATCACTCTATTTGTGGGGAATTTTATTTTTGGATGAAGCTAGCTTCTATTCTGTTAAATTATTAATACAGAAGACCTGTTTTTATTATCAACGGCTTCATGTTTTGAGTAAATTTTATTTTATCAACCATCCCTGATTTGTGTCGTGACTTTTTGCACCTTTTATCTTGACTGTGCTGTTTTATTTCTTTTCGTTTTCTTTTTAAACAGTTTATCTGCTTTCAGACACTAGTCACTCATTCAGCATTCCTTCATTTTTTATTTTCTTCAGAACCTAGCAGAGGAAAGTATATGGCCAATGCTTCTGAAGGAAAGTCTAAAAGCCTTAGGTGGACTTGGTATTCTTTCTCTTGGAGGAAAATTCCTTCTTAGACGAGTTTTTGAGGTGCGCATGGCAAACAGAACGGCTTAAACTCCATATATATTTTATTTCTGACCACTAAATTAAGTTTGTCAAATCAGTTTGTAGCAGAAGCAAGGAGCTCTGAGGCTTTTGTTGCACTTTGCTTATTGACAGTTGCAGGGACCTCACTTCTCACCCAGAAGTTGGGTTTCAGTGACACGGTTTGATATTCCTTCTCATAGATGTAGAATATCTGAGATTATTACCTCCTCTATCTATGTAATAGTTGAGTTTCACTATATATGCAGCTTGGAGCATTTTTGGCTGGAGCACTGTTAGCGGAAACAAATTTCCGGACACAAATTGAAGCTGATATAAGGCCATTTCGAGGCCTACTTCTTGGATTATTTTTTGTAACTACTGGGACGTCCATTGACACGCAGGTACATAAGTACTGTTTAGTTTCGAACATCGTTTGATGTTTCTGGTTTCAAGCTTCTTTTCTAAACTTTTCTTTTCTGAAAAGCAATTTTTGGATACTTGTGTGGCTGCCTGCTTGTTTTCACATGGTTCTCTTTGTTAAATGTTTCAATGACAGAATACTGTTAGTGAACTAAGGCACCAAAATGGTCTCTAATTTATTTTTGTATGAAACCAGTAAACTTGGTTATGCCTATGCATTTCATTCTGTTTCCTTTAATTATTTTATTGATCTGGTAAGTGATCCTATTGTCTTGATAAATAACCAAATAAAGATTTTTTGACCTGTGTGACATGAACATATCTATCTTCGTGTTCGGTTCTCATATACAAAATTTACAGATGCACCAATAATAGAAAAAAGCAGAATAATCATTCATAATTTAGCCTTCCTTTTCTCTTATACAAGTCATATATTCTTTTGTATGCAGCTTCTTTTCCGAGAGTGGCCGAATGTGCTTTCTCTCTTGGCAGGTTTGATTGTCATCAAGACACTGATAATAACAGCAATAGGCCCTCGTGTTGGACTTACTTTACAAGAAAGTGTAAGAATAGGACTGCTTCTATCTCAAGGAGGCGAGTTCGGATTTGTAGTTTTTTCACTTGCAAATAGGTGAGTTATAACTCATAACTCATTATATCAAACAAAGAATAACATGATTGAACATGTCAAGATTTCTATCTGTTTAACTAACTTCCTGCCTTGTCAAAACAGGCTTGGTGTACTGCCACTCGAGCTTAACAAGTTGCTTATAATTGTTGTTGTCTTGTCAATGGCATTGACCCCATTGCTTAATGATGCTGGAAGAAGGGCTGCTGAATTGATTGATGACAAATTTGGTGCCGAGGATGTAAGTTCCTACATCAAGTAGGAATTGATTGATGATAAATCTGGCATTGATTTTTCATGCATCAACTCTTTAAATTACAAGGCCATAACATTACTTGTTTAACGTTTTATCAGAAACTGAACATAACCATTTGAAGTTTCTTCACTCTAATCAATTTTTTTCTACTTTTCTTTTTAATAATTATTTATGATAAATCATAAAGTACAACCATCCAGTTTTTCTGAATTAGTTTTTTATTTATAATATTCTCATATATTCAGTTTCAATTTAGTGCCTGAATTTTGAACAATTGTGTACAGAAAACTGCTGAGGTGGTGAACTTTGATTCAAGTGAACCTGTTGTTATTCTTGGATTTGGACAAATGGGCCAGGTAAGGTTAACTTATGTTCTTCTGCAAGATTATAATTGCGAGTGAGCTGTGGGTCTCCGATCCTATTCTAATTCCTTTTGCTCTCTTTCCTTCATGTCCAGGTCCTTGCCAATTTCTTGTCCACCCCATTGGCTTCCGGGATAAATAGCGATAATCTGGGATGGCCGTTTGTAGCTTTTGATCTGGATCCTTCTGTGGTGAAGGTCAATGAAATTTATTTTCGTTGCTTTCTATGTTAAAGAGGATTTTATATGAATGATTGCTTGCTCAGTACGAAATATTTGAATGACTTCTTTTTTAGTCTGAAATAGTTGATGGCTTGTAATAAAGCAAGTGAAATCTTCTTAATTGCCATAATTAATTGAGGAAGTCTGGTTTTAATAACTTTAACAGAACAGTGGATTTTGAATTGTCACGTATAAAGTACTATATAATTTTACACCCCCTGAGAATGAAATGATTGTCACCCTCCAAATTGGTTTTTGTATAGTTGTAATATTTTCTGATAGCATGAAAACAGTAAGGATCTCATCAACAATGCAGTAATCTTAATGTCATATATGTTATATTTAACAAGCCTCAAGAGCTAAACTGTGGTAGACACACCTTCTAATCTAGATATCATATGTTGTTTGGGGACTCTAATTAATAATTGCATTAGAAGCTGGGAATCAGTGCTGAAAAAGTCAAATATGCTTAATATGCAGATTGGAATTTGCTACCCAGATAAAGTTTATTATTGTTTTCATTTTATTTTCCTTAAACCTTGTTAGTTTTTTTATTGACACTGAAGTTTGACATCTTCTTTAAACAAAAGGAAAATCTATATATTTATTGCAGTTCTTATTGTCTTTTACGTATTTTAAGGATAAATTGATATGCTTGGTGATGACATTAAACTATTTTCACCATTCCATTTACAGGCGTCTAGGGAACTTGGTTTTCCAATTCTGTACGGGGATGGATCACGTCCAGCAGTTTTGCAATCTGCTGGCATCGCTTCCCCAAAAGCTGTTATGGTTATGTACACTGCAAGGAGTAAAACTACTGAGGCCGTTCAAAGGCTTCGACAAGCTTTCCCAGCGGTAATGATCTCTCTCTCTCTCTCTCTCTCTCTCTCTCTCTCTGTGTCAATCCATTATAAGCATTAAGCACATAGGATGCAATCACTAGAAGCCACATCAAAGAGAAAAAATTGTTCTCAGGAGCTTGTGAATTTCAGTGCTTGTGATTTGATAGAGACATTTTTCCTTTATCAAACATGTTGTTTTATATGCAAGGTCCATGTTATCCAATCTTGGGCTAAAAGCACAGGTTTCAAACTTGCTATTGCTGCATGAATTATCCTTGAATTGAGCTTCTCTTATTTTGGATTTCAATTCAATGTAGGACATTCAGTGGTTTTTAAACCCATTTTTGGATGAAGCCTGATATTGTTTTTGTTTTGCTCTTCTTTATACGGTTTTCCACTGACTTTGGAACATGTCTGTGTGTGTGTGCGCGCGCGCGTGGGGACGGGGTTTGCAGTATGCATTATCTTCATTCCAGCTCTTCTGTATTCATCTGGACCCTGACGTGGTTTAGTTATGCAGCTTACAATCATAGAAGTTTAGAGTAAGAAATATTACTTATTGATACACACCAAGTGAGATCATACAATTTGTGCCTCAAGGAGTTTCCCATTGAACTCTGATTTGAAGGGCACTGTAGAACCAATAAATTTGATTTGACATCCAATTCAATTTGAGAGTCCCAGTCCTTTTCGGCTATACATTGATTGTACCAGCTCAAGTACTATGAAGGCTAAATTCCTGCCAATATAATTTCCTGTCTTCCGGATTTTAAACCCTTTCGTATACTTCTCCACTGTGGTCTGAATGTGGTAAAAGTTCTGTATTGGCAGATCCCAATTTATGCCAGAGCTCTGGATCTCAAGCACCTTTTAGAACTGAAGCAATCAGGTGCAACAGATGCTATTCTGGAAAGCGCAGAGGTATCAAATTAATTGATTGTTATTGTTTGCGTTATTGAATACATAACTAGCAAGTCTTTTTTTAATACAATTTGACACCAGACTAATCTTTTAATTCATGCAGACGAGTTTGCAGCTGGGCTCCAAGCTTTTGAAAGGGTTTGGAGTTATGTCCGATGATGTGAACTTTCTTCGTCAACTCATTCGGGATTCCATGGAGCTCCAAGCTCAAGGAGTGAGCAAAACTGATGATAAAGAACTTAATGATTTGCAACCGATGCAGGTACTTGCAAGCATCCTACACTGAAATTGCTTTGTCTAATCTTATTGCTCATTATCTTTCCCTCTCGTTTTCATTGTTTCTTGTATAATCATGCGACCTTGGATACCCTTTGTGACATTTTGAAGACGCAGAAGTTATAGCAATGTCGAGTTGAGCTACTAGAATTATTATGTAAATCTTATTGATACAATGCAGTAGAATAACTATTGGTTTGGTTGACAAGGTGAGAGTTGCGGACTTAATTGATGACGCTGTACCCCTTTCACCAACTCCATCAGAAGACAAATCATGGGGGGTAAACCAGGAAGATGCTTCTTATAGCGTGGCGTTTGAGGGGGATGTGGATGAAGCAAAGCATGACAGTGAGCTCCACCGGTCAGGGCATACAGAAGAAAAAGAAGAAGTTTCACATCGCGGCTTAGATACAGAGAACGGTATTGCAATGAAATCACAAGACGTTGAGGGATCAACCTCTTGCGTAACAACAAAGGATGAACTGTGATTAAGGAGGGAAAATAGTTTATAAGCTTGATTTTTCGGTCAAAGTGAAATCATAATTCCTTGATGAAGGTGTCAAAAACTAGTCTGTTTTGCTTGAGACTAGCAATGCGCGCAGGAACAAACTAAACTCTCGGACACTCTTTGTTTCAGGAAACGGAGCAAGGGGTGCTAATTCTTCTTATCAACCCACAGGCTTGTATATTTTTTCAATTTTTTGTTTCCTGACAATGCTCGAGAAATATATGATAGAATGTTTTAGTTTTAGTGTTTTTTTCCTTCCTTTTGTTCCGAAGTCTTAAACCATGTGGTTTACACCAAACCAAAAACAAAGGTGCACGCAGAAAAAACAATGGAAATGATAAACACACAACCTTTTTAGCCTCATAAATAAAGAAGTCTTAAATCATGTTTAATTTTGTTTATTATTTTCGTTTCATTTATTCAATCCAATAGTCATAAATAAAGAAAGGTATATGAAAAGTTAAAAGTTGTGTGTATGAGACTTTCATACAACGTTAGAAGTCCTGTTCAAAAAAGAATCCTCTCCTTCCAACACAAAATTGAAAGAAAAAGAGAGAATTTTTTAAGATTTTTCCATGAAACATGAGTCATCCCACCATTAACCAAATGAAAAAGTGAGTTGAAAAACATGTCCATATGTCCGCTGATGGAAAATATAGAACAAGCATGAAAAAGAGGGTGCTTGCTGTACAACATGACTCTTTATGCTTTTATTGTTGGGAACTTTAACGAAAACTCTTGGTATTGTTCACTTTAACAAAAAACCACATTTTTACACTAAAAAGTCAATCATGGTACTATTCACTTTACCCTTTATTTTGTCCTTATCGTTAAAACTCAAAGTTTTCAAGCTATTTTCATTAGTTTTCCTTTTATTCTTTTGTTATGCAAGGGGAAGAGTAAAGTTGGCACAAATTGTTTATTGGGATGAGCATAGAAAAAATGGGAAGATTTTTACGTTATGAAGGTCTCTTTATATAGGAAAGCCTTATCATTCGTAAAAAAATAACTGGCCCTCATTCATTTTACTATTTCATTCCTCTAAGACTTATTTTATCTGTCACTTTGTCTTACGGTCTAGTAATATTTCTCTTCAACTGCACATTGCTTTGTTTCTTCGTGCATTTATATGTATGACAATCACACCACAACATATCAATCATTTGTCCTAGTATTCTAAACCAAGACTAATTTATTGAGAATGTATTTCGATCTTCTGCAAGCACACGCAGAGAATCGAATTCCCCACAAACAAAATAGGAATCTTAAACGCAGACTTCGGTTTTGTTTTATTTCTCTAATTTTTGGAAGGAGACAATTGGTAGAAGTAGACAGAATAATAATCATTGGAAAGAATGATCCAACTTTGCCATATTCAAAACTCCAAAAGTGATCAAATTTTCAAGCTTCTTAAGCTTTACCATAAAAACTAGCAAGAAACGAAGCCATCAGAGAGGGAGGAGGAGGGAGGAGGAGGGAGGAGGGTAGAAAGAGCACACTTCCCCCACACAACTACCATTCCAATTTCCAAATTCCAACTCAGAAAAAGTAAAAACATTTACTTTACTTAAAACTAAAGATATTTTTTACGAAGATTAAAGAACATTAAAAGTATATTCTACTCCACTTCTATGGCACAAAAGGAAGAAGCAACAAAGTCTTCTGAAGAAGGCAAGCCCAAGCCCCGTCCGGTGGACACAGCCATGGCTATTGCTTCAACCGCAGCTCCCGCTCCTTCCTGGTTCACGCCCAAGAGGTGATTCATTTTCTTACACTTTCGTGTTTATTTTTTCTTTTTGTTCTGTTCTGGGGTCTGTTTGGTTGGTGAGAAAATATGGAATTCAAGAGAAAGTTTTGGCCTTTTTATATTTTTTAGGGTTTTTGATTGTTTTTGTTACTTGGGTCTGGGAAATACACGGTATTTCTATGTGGGTTTCAGAGTTTTTGGTGATTTCTTAGTTTTTCTCTACTTTCCCGGCAACCAACCCGGAAATTCGGTTTTTCTCCATGGTGGGCACTAATGTTCTTTCTGTGAAAGTTTATGGATGGAAAGGGAAAATAGTGAGAATTGTTGGATGCTTAATTAGTTAAACTATTTTGAAATTGAAAGGAGGAGGTGATGTATCATGTAAATGAATGCTCTTGAGTTAAGAATATATTTATAAGTTTGAGCTTTCAGCTGGGTTGAGTCAAGTATCATTTGAAGGTTTTGCAATACTTTTGAGTCACTGTAGTATCTCGCTGTGCAATATAAATGTCTTTATGCTGTGATTGCAGGTTACTTGTTATCTTTTGCTTGATTAACTTGATAAACTATGTGGACCGAGGAGCAATAGCAAGCAATGGTGTCAATGGGAGCCTTGGAACTTGTACAGATAGTGATATATGCACGGCTGGTACCGGGATACAGTAAGATACTAAGAACTGTTTGATGGTTTCCTTGTTTCTCTGGCTTTTCACATTTGGTTGTCTTCATGCATTGCTTGATTCCATTTATTTGAATGTGCTGAGTTTTCAGGTTTTTGCATATAATCACGTTCTAGGTGCTATGGTACAGAAACATTATTGAGGCTTCTGAAATAAACAAATGTGCATCCGTATCAATTTGTTATGGATAAAAAATTTCACTTGATTTCTAAGAGCACCATATTTGAGATGTTGCCAAATTTGTTCTCCGATTAATAACCTTAGCTATGGTGTGTGAAACATATCCACCAACTACAGTCTGCAGCGGTGTTGAGACTTTAAGGTTGAGGCAGTTGCGGATTATCTGAATTTGATCCATTTTTTTTTTAACCAATTTTTGTTCTGTTTACTACACGATGCTTGCAACATGCAGTCTTTTGAGATAAGTGTCTTCCTTTCTAATATAATATTTGCCTAACAATACTCACCATTTCCTTGGGTATAAGATTTGCATAAAAATACTTTTGAACAATTGTTTGAAAAGCGTTGTCCTGGTCACCTTTTATACCTTTTATACTTCTTTACATTCTATGCCTTTGTTTTTGTTATTTTTGAGCTACTCATGGGCCTTTCCTTTTCTTGTTGCCCTGCATGTGATAATTGTTTTCCATTTTCTTTTTCCTATTTTCTGATAAATGTTTTACTTTCCATAGAAATATAAATAATCCTTGACAGTTCCAATATTCTTAATTTCTTTTTGTATGTAGGGGGGAGTTTCACTTGACTAACTTTCAAGATGGAGTTCTATCATCAGCTTTTATGGTTGGACTGCTTATTGCTTCTCCTATATTTGCATCATTAGCACAGAGGTAACAATCACCTGTTAATAATATAGACCATACATCAAACAACAGTCATACATATTATGTCTGTCTATGAAGAGAATTTTGTTGCGTGTGTGTACACTACACACACACACACAATCCCTCCCTCCTTTATGTATGCGTTGATGAATATACATACATATAGATGAGCTTCAAGTGCAAACAGTCTACATGCGGACTAGTTTCATTTGAAGAGCAGGCTGGTTTTCGCCCCATTCTGTTGACAAGTTGATGACACTCCTCCTCCTCCTCTTCCTCCCCCTCCCTCCTCCTTTATGTATGCATCTATGAATATACACGCATAAAGTTGAGCTTCAAGTGCAAACAGTCTACATATGGACTGGTTTTGTGTGAAGAGCAGGCTGGTTTTCGCCCCATTCTGTTGACAAGTTGATGACGTTAGGGTGTAGGGTTTAGGATTTATCTCGGTTTCTGGGCTTAGGGTTTAAATTTTAGCACTCAGGCTTTGGGTTTCTGGAGAGAGATAGGGTGCCGTCTATGATGCAGTAGCAGTACACACGACCATATAAGAAGTGGACTATTATATATATATGTCTCTGTGTGTGTGTGTGTAGATATGTATAAATTCAGAAGCATTTGGATTTCTTATTTATGCCATTTTAAATTTTGCAGTGTAAGTCCATTTAGGCTCATTGGAGTTGGATTATCAGTTTGGACCTTTGCGATAGTTGGTTGTGCTTGTTCATTCGATTTCTGGTCCATTACTCTTTGCCGCATGTAAGTAACTTCATCCTTCTTGTTTTATTGCTATACCTTCTCCCCCAGTTTGTTGCTCCTTGATGTTACGTTTTTGAGCAATCCAGTAATGTGGGATATTGTTTGATCATGTTTGTTTGTTTTCCTTGTTTCAATTCCTTTTCTGTTCTCTAAAGGCTAGTTGGTGTTGGGGAAGCTTCGTTTATTAGTCTTGCAGCTCCATTCATTGACGATAATGCCCCAGCTGCTCAGGTATGGTATCTTTTGTTTCATGGCATGCCAAACATTTTAAATTTGTTGGTTCCATTTGGTTTTTACTCAACGGTGGGATATACTTCTGAAGATTGTGAACCTTATTAAAAAAGTAAATCTCGAAAGAAAAAACTGCATTACTTAAAAATAAGTATATCTCAAAGGAAAAAAACTATATATTTATTCTCAGTTCAAGTGTGTGAAAAATTAAAGAAAATATATAAGCAAAATATTGTGACAAAACCCATTTAAAAATACAGCATCTAATGGATTATAAAAAATTCAAGATGTATTAAGTCGAGTTGTACTTTTCCTTTTTTTTTCTTTTCTTTCCCTGTATAAAGCCAGTGTAATGTAACTTGGTCACTGCCTTATCTAAGAATGCCATGTGTTATCACTCTGCAGTAGTGTGCCATAGAACATGTATGATTCCCTGTCAGAAATATGTTAGAGTTGCAGTGTTAATTGACTTTTCTAAACTATCAAGAGCTTTGGATATGTTCTTAGTAGTAGGTTTTCTTTTACTGTGTCATTCTGAACACACCCCACCTGTTCATTCATGTATATATTCTTTTTTATGTTGGATACACCCCATTGCTTTTTTATTTTATTATCTTAATATCATATATATTTTTAGATTTGCTGTCAATTGACTTATGCTGTGTCTGTTATTTCAGAAAACTGCATGGCTTGGTATGTTCTACATGTGCATACCAAGTGGATATGCACTTGGCTATGTTTATGGTGGGGTGGTAAGTTATACTTAATTGCGACAGGGGGTTAGTTTCATTTGGCATATGTGGTGTCTTGACCCAAATAAAAATTTCTAGATAGAATTCTTTATATAAAAAATGCGTATTTGTTTACAGTTTGATGGTTCTCACTTGGTCCCACGTTGATCATTTTTTGGTTGTCTGTTATTTATAATACATAGGTTGGAAGTCACACCAAGTGGCGTTATGCATTTGTGGGGGAAGCAATCCT